GGGGTGGGCCGTGCTGCGGTTCGAGCGGCGCGCGGACCCGCTGCCTGGGTTGTTCCTCTGGCGCCCCTACAGATCGTCCCTGCCGCCCCAGGGTGCGCACCCGCTTGAAATTGCTGCTGGCCAGCGGCCGCCGCGCGGGGGACACCGGCGAGCGCGGCGACCGGCACTTCGCCGGCGACAGGGGCGGCTGCGGTGGAGGGCGCGTGAGTTGGAAGGCGGGGGCCCATGAGTGGACTGGCGGGCGGTGACGACTGATGGCCCCGGTAAAGAGGAGGCCCGGCCCTGCAACAAGCCCAGGTGTCCCTTCCAGGTGCGGCGGGCGCTAGGCTGCGAGTTCGGTGCCCCGTCATCATGGAGAGGCCAAGGGCACAGCCTCAGAGACTCGAGATGCCCCCTGCCGCCGCTCACCACGTTGCTGCTGCTGAAGATCGCGTGCGCGGTCGTGGGCGACAGCGGCGTGCTGCTGCTGCCCGGGCCGCTGGGGCCCTTGATGGGCTTGCCACCCTGCGCATCCTCTATCAGGTTGGTCACCTGGGAACATGCGGGCACGCGGCCATGCGGTTGTCGAGGTGGGCGTACAGCTGTCAAGGCGAGCGCCAGCAAAAAGCGCGCCATGCAAGGCAGTTGCTCAGGCAGCCGAGAGACCCGCCGCGTCGCATGAAAGCCCTCCATTTGCTGAAGGGCGTTCTTTCCCTGCTCGGTGGTGGCAGGCAGCCGCCCCTGCTCACCAACGCCTGAGAGTCTGGGAGCGACAGCCACTGCAAAAAAAGCTGGTCCAGTTTGAGCTTTGCGCACGCGTACATTGGATGGCTGTCCAGACCCCGGCCGCTTGACGAGGCGAGGCCTGCACACAGCAGCGCAGCGATGCAGCGGCCGATGCAGCAGCTTGATGCGCCGGCGCATATCGGGGCTGTGTCGCATGCTTCATGACGGCATGCGGCGCATAAAGCATGCGGCGGTCGTAATAAATGATTCGCGGCCGTAACCAGGGGCCGCGAGGCTGAAAATGTACCTGGAGTCTCCGTCCTCTCATTCTGCAGCTGGTCCGGCCCTGTTCCGGCGTCCATGAGCTACACACAGGCTTATAGATGCCAGGCTCCGCCTGCTGCCCTGCAGCGGCCAAGCGGAACAGGGGTGGCGCGGGCTCGAGCGGCTAGCGAGCTCCTGCAGGCGTGCACCGACAGGCAACGACGGATTATATATATGGCTTAAGGTTCGTGGCTGCGTGATGAAGGCGCTTGCTGCTGCGGCAGGGACAAGAAAGCGCCGAACACGAATAAGTGTGATCAGGCCAGGAGGAAGCGCGATGTGATTCAGGTGACAGACAAACGGGATATGAGGGAAAGTGGCAGGGTATAATATCTGTTGAAGGAGGCGGCCGGTCATGCGTTTGAATTCAACCTACGGTGGATACGATGAGTGTAGAGCAGCGCCCAGCTCCGAGACTTCTTGCGCTAGAGAGGAGAGGACAGCAAGCCCACGTGCATCAAGAAATTCTATTTATTGGTAGCCACGGTTGATCGCCGGCGCTTCGGTGGTGCCTGGTTCGGATGATCTGGGCGCTATGACGACGAGACAGCTGAGCCATGCCAGGCACCTTGTGATCATGTGGCCTTCAGCCGACCGAGAAACCTCATCCTTCAACTGTAATTCTCGCAGATGTGTCCCAAATCTACAAGATCTTGCGGCTTGCAACAGATTGACGGCTGCGCTCAAGGCGGGAAATTCACACACGGTGCCTAACCGTACGAAGTGGCCAAGCCTGGGGTTGTAGAGTGGCTGTTGCGTCGTGCGTGTGAGATGGCAATGGTTATTTAGTGATGGCTGGGACAGGGTGCAAATGATCGGCACAGCGAGTGCTTTCAGTGTTTGGGGGAGAAGAGAGTGCTTTCAGTGTTTGGGGGCTGCCTTCGGGGGCTGCCTTCAAGCCTGCGGCCTCGAGGGCACTGCACTTGCAAAGCACAACTGCATGCATAAGGGAAGGGTGAATGATTTGTGGCAAAAGGCGGTCCAGCACGTGGGAAGAAGTACACGCATATAGCTGCACTAGAGCACGCGATATCCTTGCCTGGATAGCCCTTGCGAAGGACACCCTCCTCGGCGTTGTGAGGCTCCCCCCACAATGCTTAATGTTGGTCAGAGTTCTCAGATCCCTGTGTCCAAAAAGTACGCGCACACCTGCACGTGCGTGTGGGTGACATGATTGTTGGCGACACAAGGTCCACAACGCTGGTCAACAGAGTGTCTGGACTCACTTTTGGCATGACTGCACAGCTATTACAAGATTACGGAGCCTAGCTCCAAAAATATATTCACAAGCGCTGGAATTATGTGAGGGTGGAGGGGGCGGGGGATGGGTGCGCGGGTCAAAGGGTTTGGGGGGCATGCACGCCCCTGGATGCAGCCATCTTTCATCTGCGGCGATATCTTGATCCTCTTGTTGAAGAATGCCATCGCACAACATCCATTGCTTGTGGTTTCCAAAAACCGGCCTGGCGACCGCAGTTGACATCGCGTCGTCCTGGAGGTGGCCCCTGGCGTGCGCGAGCTCGCATGTGGAACGATCGGCAGCCAGGCAGGGTTTGCCCACATAGGCGAGCGTTGCTTCTCGAAGTGCTTTAAGAGGTATGCCACATATGTCGTTTTCCCAGCACGAGTCTGCCCCTTGTGCCGCAGCCAGCCAAAAGGTCGTGATCTGGTGCGCATCGGGTCCTTCGTAGCCTCATCATCAGCTACGAGATACGGGATAATTTCTAACTTTAGCACACCGCGCCGTAGGCCCTGAACACCTTCTCAGTAGAAACGAGTCCCGCGCTTGCTGCAGCAGCCGGGACGCGTCTGCCCGTGCAGGAACAGCGCTAGACGATATTACTAGCACGGGGAGCGGCTAGGTGGCCTGCCGCGGTCACGGCGGCGATCAGTCCGTGACACATGGTGGGTTGGGGGCTGTCGGGGCCGCTGCAGCAGGCGGGGCGCTGCGCGCCCTTGGTGGGGGCCATGCACCCTGCATGCGCTCGGCTTGCGAGCATGCTTGCTACCCCTTAGCATGCATGGCTTCACAGTTGGGGCGCTCACCAGCGCCGCCACCACAACCGCCTGCCGCGCGTGCCGGGCCTTACCCGCAGGGGGCTTACCTGGCGGTGCCCGTGACGACTAAGGAGCGCTTCGAGGGGCAGGGGCCCCTCAAGCACCAGGGCGATGCTATAACCGTGGTGTATGGCGGCGCCGCGATGCAGGGGTGGCGCCGCACGATGGAAGACGCGCACATCGCGCAAACTGGCCTCGGCCATGACACAGGTGAGCGCCACGCCGCACGCGCGCACAGCTAGCAGGGTCCTCCTTGCCTCAAACGGGGCATGCGCACGCCCACTCGGCTAAAGCCGCCTGCGTTCCTCAGGTTCCAAGCCACCATGCGTGACCCGCATGCACGCATGCACGCATGCATGCACGCATGTACCTTGCAGCGCCACATGATGCCAGCACGCCCCGAGCCTGTGCCCTGCCTGTGCTGCGGCCCCCACAACCCCCCTTCCCCCCGGCGCGGCGCGCCCCGCAGGCGCCATGTTCGGCGTGTTTGACGGCCACGGCGGCGCCGAGGTCGCCAAGTTCTGCCAGCGCTACATGGCGCAGGAGCTGCAGAAGCTGGAGGGCTTCGGCGGCGACGCCGTGGAGGAGGCGCTGGTGGACGTCTTCCACCGCATGGACGAGATGCTTCGCGACCACTCGTTCGCCGACGAGATCGAGCAGCTCAAGGCGCACGAGCCGGGCGAGGACGAGCCCGGGGACGGCGGCGGCGACGAGGGCGGGTCGCCCATGGACGCGCTGGAGATGATCAAGCGCGTGTTCCAGCTGAAGCGCTTCGTCGGGGACGGGGGCGGCGGCCAGGAGGGCGGCGCGCTGGGCGGCGGCGGCGCGCGCAGGGCTGATGATGCGGGCGGCGGCGACGAGGCCGTGGCGATGGAGGCGGAGGGGGGCGCCGAGGGCTCCGACGCACAGCAGCAGGCGGCGGCGGAGCGCGGCGCCGGCGGCGGTGTGGGTGCTGGCGCCAGCGGTCCCCCGCAGCAGCAGCAGCAGCCGCCGCCGGCGCAGCAGCAGCAGCAGCGCTTCGTGGAGCCTGCGGACACGCGCATCCAGGCGGGCTGTACCGCCGTTGTCGCGGTGATCAAGGCCGGCCACCTATACGTGGCCAACGCCGGCGACTCCCGCGGCGTGCTGTGCCGCGGCGGCAGCGCGGTGGCCATGTCTGAAGACCACAAGCCCGCGCAGGAGACGGAGCGGCGCCGCATCCTCAATGCGGGTGCGGTGGGGGCCATGCGCTGCGCTGCGGCTGCTTGGAGCGGGACTGGCGTTTGGGGAACGGGCACAGAGGGGTAAGGCGAACGTCCAGGCTCGGCCTGCGGCCAGCCCCCGGCAACGCTTCCCCACAACCATCTTATTCCGCTCCCTAACTCTTGCCCCATCCTTCCCCACCCACTTTCGCGTCCACCCCACCCATCTCCCCCCGCCTCACCCCTC